CTTTAAATCTGATTGACAGGTAACTGGGAGAAATCAGGGTTTTGGAGCAGGGAGGTAACAAGATGAACATAGTGCCTGTAAAATAATTTTCTGCTTGCTAAATGAACTGGTCTGGGAGCAGAGACCAGAGGCAGGCTGGCTGATGTAATAAGGCTAAGTCAGTAATGGAGCTGCCTGGTGTTGAGATGGTGATGCCAACGTATGATGCATGAGGAAAAGCCAGCAGGGCTTGATGCCTTCCTGGGAATGCATGGTAAAGAGCCAGCAGTTCCTCAGTGGGGCTTCCTTCCAGAGGAAGCTCCTTCTGTTGACTGTCGTGGTAAAAACTGGATCTCTTTGTCTGAGGATGCTGCTGAGCTGAGCTCTGCTTTAAATGTGCCTTTTAGAGAAGTCAGAACCATGAGAATCGAGTAAGAGCAAGAGAGATATTTCAAGACAATGACAGACCACTGCTATGCGAAGCTAAAGAATAGGTATGTCCAAACACTACCCAAAGCCATGTGCACAGACCAACTTCATCCAAGGTGCCTTAATCTCTATAGAGGGCAGTTACAACACAATGCTGCAACCCATATGCAGACTGGGTGGCTTATAGATAGCAAACATTTCTTTCTCACAGCTTTGGAGGCTGGAAGTCTAAGATCAAGGTGCCAGCATGATTGGTTCTGGTAAAGGCCCTCTTCTGGGTTTCAGGCTTCTTATGGTGTCCTTCCATGGCAGAAAGGGCAAGGGATCTCTCTGGACCTCTCTTACCAGGGTACTATCCAATCACGAAGGCTCTACCCTCATGACTGAAGTATCTCCCAAAGACCCCATGAACTATCACACTGGGCATTAGGATTCCAGTATGAATCGGGTAGGGGACACATTCAGACCACAGCACCAGGCTATGGAAGAGAGAGACCAGTGTGTGGAAACAACACTCCAATGCTCACTAGTCACCTGAGAGATGACTAGAGAGATGAGCCTCCATCTCTCTGAACTTCTCGGAGTAGTAGGGCTGCATGAACACTTTTTCAATCCACACCTAATGATGGAGTAGAAACTCAACAGGTTGGAGAATAAAAAGTAAGGTCATGATAGTCTAGCGTTTCACCCACCACAACCGCAATCACTCCATGTGTGTCTTTCTCTCTCTCATGGGTGTGCTCTTATGGTCGTTTCTCTCATTAACTTTTTGGTCTCATCCTTTCTCTAATTAATTGAAGACTTCCTATGGTTTCTAGGGAGTTGATCTAATATTCCACCAGACATCCATGTTTTCTTTTGACTTTCCCACTGTCCAATTATCCTCTATCATCTTTTTTCCCACTCCACTTATGAACCCATCACTACAAACAAATCAATTGATATGACAAGTCTGGTAAAACTCTGAAAGAAGAACCTAGAGTACACTTGGGTTTTATACCCAGTGTATCTTTTCACATGGTTGACCTTAGGTTAATCAGGTGTAAGAATCTTCAATTCTTGTATCCTCATCCACACAATGAAAATTCTAATACCTTCTCTGCAGGGCAAGTGTGTAGCCTTCAGATCAGGGACATGATGCCTCGAGTAGGCCTTCCACAGACTAGGAGCTTAACTCTTCCGCTGATCTTTGTAGAAAAACAGTGACTACATTGACAACAAACTGATCTGTACCATAGCAGCCATTAATCACTAACATCAACAAAAAACTGTGCATACACAGTAACTTATAGAATTTCTTTCATTTGATTAAAAAGCAGCATTTTTACATATACCAGATAACCTAATTGGCAATTAAACAATTTAAATTGCAATCAGTAGTGGCCTCTTGAACACCATACTAACTATGTGCTCAATCCTCAAAAACAGAATGATACTTTCTACCTGAGTACAGGAGTATTTTGCATCAGAGAGGAGAATATCCCTATGTCTATCCTTACAGAAGCCTGGATCATTTTTGTGAAGAAGGAGAAAAAAACAAGTAAAATCCTGGCTATTTTTTCCAGAGAAGGCCCCTCACCTTCTTCTTCTTTTTTAAAAAGCAGTGTGAGCAAGGTCAAAACCTGGCTCCGTTTGGCTGCACGGTGGCTCTCATTACTGTGGCTGGCTTCTCTGGCTCCTGGGGAGAACTTGCTCAAGGTCAGCTGAGCCAGCTTCAGAGGAGCCACACCTGGCTGTACCTACGGAACCTGAGCTCTGAGTCATTTGCTTGGCAGAGAGCTGTTCTGGGAAAAGGCAAAAGTCAGAGATGCTGGCATGAAAGGTAGATGAGTCATGGGCAAGGAACAAATCTTTCGTTATAGAGGACCAGCTTTGGGAAACACTGACATGGAAAAAAAAAAAAAGAGCTGTTTGGGGAAAACTAATTTGTATTTTTGGTCAAGACCATTTAACCCACAAAAACAGCCTGCAAAGGTTGTTTCTACTCCCAGCAACTTCTTCATTACCTAGCACTTACACTCTAAGAGAATAAAAAAATCAATCCCAGGGAAGTTTTGAAGAAGAAAACTTTCTAGGAGAAACTGGCCTTATCAGTGACTTAAGTCTGACTCAAATAACAAGAAACTAAAAGACAAAGTGAACATTGCAACTTATTCTCTGAAATTGCAATCACATGGATAATGCACAGAAATCGGTGTTTGTGGATTCCTTTACAGAGGACTCAAATATACATCATCATATAGGAGGTCTCATATTATAGGTTGAAAAAACTTAAAAAGTTTAACCAAAAGAACATTACAAGGTCATTTTATACCTTTCTTTTCTAGTTTCCTTAAGTATGGAACCCTGTTGTAAAAAGACACATTTTGTATTTTGACAGCAAAGTAATCTTAAATGCACATATAGAGAAGTAGTGAGAAGCAGTAATGACAAGATTAGTACATATGTCTTCATAAGGCTACTCATCTGTAATGTAAGAGCTCAGAAAAGAATGAAGTTATAATGAACTTTAAATGTAAAAGTCGCCAAAAAACAGCTAAAAATATTTGGATGGTAAGACAAAAATGATGCTTTTCACAGCAATCTTTAGAGCACTTTTTAAAATAAATGTTTCCATTTTATTTATGGGAAAACTGATATAAAAACACCTAAAATCAACTTGTACACAATGACCTGACTTTATTTGAGAATTCAATACAGGGCCAAGAATTAGTGACACTGCACTATGGAGTCATGTGGTTGAATCCTTCCTAATCTCCCCAATTCGAGATCTAGCTAAATAAGAATATTGACAAATACTGACAAACTCAAGACGGTTATGCCTGAGAAGGTAACTGACTGTCTTCACCAGAATTTGTCTGGAAGGGAGAAAAGAGGGTCCTTCACTTCTCATCCTATATGCTATGCTATAACTATGCTATGTCCCTAGCCTTCCTCAAATCTCTACTAATTTGCTGGTATCCTTAGTTGGCAGGGGGAAACTGAGGCTCAGACAAGTGAAGTCCGTAAGCAGTGGAGCTGAGGTCACAGTCATGTCCACTCAACTTCTCAGGTCTTTCTCGGCCACTAGGGCTGCAAATTTACCTGCCATTAGGAGCCAGCTCGGTGGGCATCAGTAAGCATTCACATCACATGGCTGTGTATGAGAGAGCAGTCATGCTGGGCAACCAACAGGCCCATTTGCTGGGGACTTCTCCTGCTTTTAGCACATGTCCCAGAAAACTACTCACTTGTGGGCAAATGGGGATGGGTGGGCTCCTAGAAGGAGGCGAAGTGGAGAACGCCAGCGCTACTGAAGCATTCCCCATTAAATCCACCTGTGCCCAGGTGCAGTTCTGCAATCTCAGACCTAGGGATGGGAGACGTGAGTACCCTCCAGCCAACAGGAACCCAGGGCTGTCATCGCAGAACTTCTTATATTGGGATCAGAAGATAAGGTCATATGGTGACGAGTGATGGATATCAGGGTGTATTATTGACGGGCATTGTTGGTTTTTCTGTAATGCCTCTCTGTCCATGGATTGCAGGATTCTACCTGGCGTAGGCTGGTTCTTATCCGCCGGCCTAAATTAGGTTCTGAGGTTCCTGGAGAGTGGTAACATCTACCCAACAAAGGTCATGCATAATCCAATAATAATAAACTATAAAGTGCATTACATGCTCTATAGGCAATGGCCCATTACTTATGGATGCCGGAAAGGAGGCTCAAGGAAGGCTATCAATAAACTCGAAGCATATGGTCACTTGGGAATATGGCACTGAGGTTAAGACTGTGTTCTCATGAGAGCTGCTCTTTACCACTTCTTATGTCACTGCAGACATCAGTCAACTGGAGAGCTGTCTCCAACTTTCTAACCATTCCCAGTGTCCTCATTTGGTGATACTGAACTCTTCTCTGGCAACAGGAGGAACCATCTGGACTTTGACCACTATTCATTCACTTCCTTGGCTCCTTCATGGGAAGATGGGTCTGGTTCTAGATGTGTCCTGGCTCTCCATCAGCTCTGGGGTGTTGTGGACATGTGGCAAAGAACCCTTCCATAGTACCTTCCATGAAGCACACACCGCCCTCGTGGTATGGCCTCCTTTGGGAGGCCATCCTGCAAAGCTCTCCCCAAAACTTCCAGGGAGCTCCTTGCTGGCACTACACTATTTGGCTTGTCAGAAAACACCATTTCATTCTCCAACCACAGACAGTGTACTTCTCATTAAAGTGCAAAGATGTTCATTTTTATACTGTCTTCAAATCCATACACTTCCAAATACCCGATTAATGATTATTGGTAAATATAACATGGCCTTTGAAAAAAACCCACAACTACTGAGCAAATACATAGAAGACATATCATGGAAACCCTGCAAAAACAAAAGTAAATCATGGATACTGTTATTTCAGTCCTAGCAGAGACCTTGAAGACAGGGACTCCTTTTTCTTTTCTTCTTTATTTTTTCTTTTTCTTTTTGGCCAGAGAGCAAAATATCTGAAACCTCAGCCTCTCAGCCTCTTTGTCTTAATGTAATAATGTCACACGTTTTCAGAGAGAATCAATACCTTCTGCTTAGAATGGGCCAAAATAAAGCAATGTACTTACTTGAAAGAGGAATGAGTGCTTTATAGATAGTAGGCAGGTGTCACAGGCAGTCCTTTCTAGCTTAAGCTACTTTCTGCAGGATGTATTCTGAAAATACAGAAAAAAAATTGCTATTGCTTTTTTACTTGACACAAACAGGTAGACTGCTAAATACACATAGCAACAGAAAACGGTAATTCTTTTAAAATCTGGTGAATAAATCAGAAAAAACAGATAAACATGTAAGTACACAGAAATGTGTTCACTCGTACATACTTCATTTAGAAGCTAAGGGTTTTGCTCACTTCAACTGTTTTTTTTTTTTTTTTTAATTTTTATTCATTTTTGATAGTCACAGAGAGAGAGAGGCAGAGACACAGGCAGAGGGAGAAGCAGGCTCCATGCACCAGGAGCCCGATGTGGGACTCGATCCGGGGTCTCCAGGATCGTGCCCTGGGCCAAAGGCAGGCGCCAAACCGCTGCGCCACCCAGGGATCCCTTGTTTTTTTTTTTAAGGAGACATTTAACCATACATAGCAATTATACATATAAATAGCAGGTGTTGAGAAGTCACATAAAGGTTTACAGGATGTCATCTCACTCCTGAATGGCTGCCCTGCATATCCCAAGTCTGAGTCTACACAAGGTGTGATAGGGTGTTAACATTTCAAAGGGCCTGAGGGTTCATCTGGTGCGCCACCCCCATTTCAGAACAGGAAACAGGCCCACTCAGCGGAGGTGCTTGGCACAGACCACTCAGCTGGCTGGGACAGAGCTCCTGAGAGCCACAGGAGCACCCTTCCCCTGCAATCATGCTCCCATGCCAGCATTCATTCATTCATTCATTCTCAAGTACTGACTCAGTACTTTCTATGGACCAAGTCCTGTCCTAGGCTCTGTGGGTTAAGAGAAAAAGCTCTCAGAGTTTCTGTTCCAGAGAGGGGAGACTAAATCCAGTAAGTACTATCTCAGAATGGTCCTGCTGCAATGGTGGCTGGAGACATGGGGAGGCAGTGAGGGAGCAAGCCACCAGTCTACTGGGGGAGCACATTCTAGGCAGAAGGGGCAGCGAGGACCCCGAGACACAGAAAGCACAGGAGGTCTGGTGGCACAGCTGCAGGGGATGCACGGGGACACGGAAGTGGCCAAGCCCTCGGCACTGGAGGATCCAATCGATGGGAAACTGATGATGCACAGAACTCTGGAGAGTATCTACTTAAAAGGCAGGCAGGAAAGGAGGAGATTGGGAAGAAACAGGAGAAAAACTGGAGGGAGCTGTCTCCCCAGAGGCCAGCAGGTGGGCGAGCTGCAGGCTCTGGCCATCAGAACTGAAAGTGAATATTTGCAACACAGGGAGCAGGGGTGGGTGAAGCCAGAGAGAAGTAAAGGCTGCTATATGCCCAGTTGTGAGAAAGGAATGTGCAAGCCTGACTAGGGCAAAACACCGCAGAGTTTGGAGGGTTCCCTGCCTGCAGGCTCTGCATACTGGAAATGCAGTTTCCACCTGGACGTTTCACTGCTGGCGAGATCTAATGCAAACACATGATCCTTAAAGCGGATCCTCCCACCAAATTTGGCGAGATTTAAGATAGGTCTAAATTCAATTAAACGTATAAGGAAAGCAGAAGGCCTTAATCATAAGTAAGGTTAAATGCTGGCCTTAGAATCCAAGCCCTGGTTTTACAAGCTGGTCTTTAATGAGCATGTACAAAATAAATGACTTAAATAAAGGAGTCAACAGGCATTCAATAGCAAATGATAATTCCTGGCAATGCAAACAGTTCCAAAAGTAATCACTAAATTACTTAGGAGTACAACAATGATGAGAGTATTTGTGATTCCTTTAAGATAAAACTACTGGATACATTGAAATTACTGGAGACAATGGGACACCTGGGTGGCTCAGTGGTTGAGCATCTGCCTTCAGCTCAGGTCCTGATCCCAGGGTCCTGGGATGCAGTCTTGTATCAGGTTCCCTGTGGAGTGCCTGCTTCTCCCTCTGCCTTTCTCTGTCTCTCATGAATAAATAAATAAAATCTTTAAAAAATTATTGGAGATATTAAAAAATCTTTTTAAAGTCCCATGCTATGTAAATCTATTAAAACAAAAATACTTCCATGCAACAATCCACTGTGTATTCTGAAAAGGCTTAGCAGGAGGAAAAAAAATGATAGTACTATTTACTATAGTACTATTTACTACATTTATTACAGATAACAAGTGACACCACATAGTGAAACTGAAGGTCAATATAAAATACGGAACAGATTTGTGGCCCACACCAACTCGTAGTAGACATTAGCAGTAGTGGATGCGGTGTAAGATGAGTGGCAATTAGAGAGTTCTGGATTGGAGACTGGGTGCTACTATCTCTCTTCTGAAGCTCTCCCTCCGTATCTTTTCTTAAGAACTGGTTACCCCTCTTTGGTATCACTAAATGCCTCTGTTCTCCTTGTGCCCCGTATTATTATCATTTCACTCTCTTTTCTCTTCAAAAGGGCCACTTCTTACAGAGAAGGCTGTGCCATCTATCTTTCTCTCACTCAGGCTTAGCACAGAACCTAGCACATGGTAGGTGCACGTAACTACAGGATAAAATAACGAAAAAAAAAAAAAAAAGAAAAGAAATACACTTAGATAAAAGACCCAATGTCTCTTCAAATATTTTCCCAACCCAGGCATATTTTGGAGGGTCATTCCTGAGATAGTAATCAATTGCTAATGACAGATGTCCCTCAGTTCCTTTGGTATCATAGATGCCCAAGTATCCAGCCAGAAAGCCACCTACACGTATTATACTGCAACCTTACATCCAAGAGCATGTAGTGCACAATGCTCCTTCTTTTCTACAATTATTTTCAGGCTATGTTCAGCCCAGTTGCTTTGTGGTGCATCATATTCTACATGGAATTCTACATGGAATGACTTTTTATTTTTAAACTGATGACCATCTTTCCTGCTGTGATTATGAGCCCCCAAGAGAAAAAATTAGAAAGTATCACTTAAAGTTTTAATTTAAAAAATTATACATTTTATATTTTAGTTCACGCTAACGGACCTAATTTTGATTGGTTAGGAATGCCATTCCCTCATCGGTAAAGAGCTACAGAATTACAAGAGGGGAGAGAACAAAATTTTAAAGTGTCTCAGAAATTTATTTTTACTGTCTTATCTCTGAAACACATAAAGATTTCCCTGAATGTCATTAAAAGAGAGAGAGAGAGAGAGAGAGAGAGAGAGCTGTAATTCATCTGAGGATAAAAGTACAGATTCTGTTTCTTTGCAAAAAGATAAATAACATTTTATTTAGCACTATCTGAAAAATGCCCATTTAGTATATGTTGAAAGGCCCTTTGGGCTATCATAGCACATTATGCAATATCCACACAGATTTATATTTACATCACATTTTTAAGGAGTTCCTTCTAGACGCAGCAAGTCTTTTAGGATCCAGCCCTTGAAAGTCAACGTCACTTAGAAGTATTTCCCCGCAGCTTCCTATGACACACAGCCTAATGGAGCTGTGCTCACAAAAGGTGGTTTACAATGTTTACAGAGGAGGAGAGCAACAATTTACTCTTAAGGCAGCCCTACTTCTTGGAAATTCTGTAAGACCAAGGCAATTTAGGAAGTATTTCAGGAGATTAAGAGGAGGAGAGGGAGAGACAGTCATGGGAATGCATCAATTCCTTCCTCCCCCAATGAGCGGCCAAGCCTGAGTGTCAGGTGCAGGTTATTTTCCAAGCCTGGGGGCAGGAAGCGTTGTCAGGGGCAGAATGGACGGCTGAAGAGGGAGAGCGGGGTCGGGGGGCATGGAGAGCGAGATGGGGGGGCATGGAGAGCAAGATCACCGGAACAAATGGTGCCTCCTCTGCCTGGGCCACCCAACCTTCTGAAGTCTGAAGCAGGTGCGGCTGGTGTCCGCGGGAGGCCAAACAGGAAGGAAGTGCTCTCAGGAGAGGGACCCTTCTCACATTCAACCCATCACACGTGCTACCTTAAAACCAAACTGCTGCAGACTGCCCAGAGTCATAGAGACCCTGCATCACAGTGAGCAACTAGCAAACTTTGTTATTACAGATGAGGCTCTATCATGATAAATGGCAGCCTTTCACAGTATTCTTTATTTTTCTTAAAACTGTGACTTGAGAAACATATTACATTGGATGACTTATTACACCCTAGGATAAGCCAGGGAGGGGGACTCTGAGTTGGGGTGGGGGACTCTGAGTTGGGGTGGGGGAGCGAAACACAGTTCGTATTCTGAAGTTTTCCTCTGCTAAAGAATATACGGAACCCCTTCAGCCAGCTTATAGCTCCAAATCAAAGCAGTGATTTTAACAAAACAGTTAAATGGCAAGGTTTGGCTTCTCAGGAGCAGGGAAATAATTCCTGACAGCCTCAGAGAGCAGCAGGGCTCTCCACTGATAGCAGACGCATGGTGGCAGCCAGCCAGCCGTGTGACTGGTGAGTCAATACACAAGTTTCTGTGGTCTCCACAGTCTGACACGGTAAGGATATCAATTTTTAAGTTTGAGGACTAAATGACACCAAGGGGTTCTCCTGGTATAAAACCACCCTATGGCGAAGGTACACAGAAACAGAAACTCACAATGCGCTTGTCTGGGTTTCTTTCAGCTCAGCCTTGGCCATTTAGATGCCCCCCACCCCCACCCCAGAACATACCATCTTTATTACAGAATTTAAGATTACTTATGGTTTGATCTGGAAAATAATCCAGGCCATCGTTAATGGAAATTTTTAAATGTTGTCAGACCTCAGTCAAAGTGGGAAGAACCCCACCTTTTCCGCAATTTCATTTCAACTCCGAAAGCACCGTCTCTGTAAAACAAAGCCCCGAGTGACAAATTCTCTCTTTGTAATGGCTGAATACACACCTAGGCATATTTTGGGCACAATGGGATTTGCTAATATTCTCCATGTTAAAAAGGCTTAATGAAAACTACAAAAGGTGAAACAAAGGAAATCGTCCAAAATGAAGGCTGCACACATCTGTGAAGAAACAATAGCACATTACTTCTGCTAAGACCCTGTGCCGACACCAGGAGAATCGCTGCCCTGTCCTAATTAAAGTGTGTCTCACCGAA